CCCCCCCCCCCCCCCCCCCCCCCCAAACATATCCATAAGACACTCTCCCCACTGATTACCAGCTTCCCACATTTATACAGCCAATTCAAACCATATTAATTAATATGTCCATCATCTGTTGCCTTATCACGTGAGGTCTTAGTCATTCCTTCAGACCATTTTAGATGATAACAGCAAACATACAGAACTCCAGCCACTTTCACAAACCGTTGGCTGCCTTGTATATACTATAGTCATTGGTTGAAGAGTAACTCTCAACGCCTGGATAATTATTTCATGTTTATATCAGATTTCAGAACTTTTATTCATTTCGTGTAGAGGCTAGTGTATTTTTGTTTTCGGCAGTACAGACTGAATGTGCTAAAAAGCATCTTCTGTACTCTGATTCTGTGATTTTAATGTTGTTTGTTCTAGATTTTTTTTTTCTTTCTTCCTTCATGGGATGAGGGTGTTGCTGGCCAGGCAGCATTTATCGCTCATCCCTAATTGCCCAGAGGGCAGTTAAGTCAACCACAATGCTGTGGGTCTGGAGTCACATGTAGGCCCGACCAGGTAAGGATGGCAGTTTCCTTCCCTAAAGGACATTAGTGAACCAGATGGGTTTTTCCCAACAATCAGCAATGGATTTATGGTCACCATTAGATTCTTAATTCCAGATATTTATTGAGTTCAAATTCCACCATCTGCCATGGCAGGATTTGTACATGGATCCCCAGAACATTATCTGGGTCTCTGGTTTAACAGTCCAGCGATAATACCACTAGCCCATTGCCTCCCCATCTGCTCTCACTTTTCCTCTACCTGATATTTTCCTTTTTGATATATAATGTTTTCCCCCTCCTCAGATAATAAGAATGCTGAGAAATTGGAACCAGGAAATCTCCGAATTGAGTCTACATCCCAAGCCACACTAGATCCATCTTTAGTAATGGAGCATCCATCAACAACAAACCGATCAACTGCTTCAAAGGTTGTTGAAGTCATCTCCTACTGTAATTGGAATGAAAGTCGTGTTAAGGTTATTAAGTTAATTGCTGAGTGTGCTATGGCCAATAAACTTCCCTTGATACAGCGATTGGACAAATACAAGATTAATTTGGAAAAAAGTGATGGAACTTTATTTCCACCTAAGAGGAGGATTGATGTGAGAGCAACCATCCAAAATGTCTCAGATTCAGAACATGGATTTATTAGGCCCCTGGTGCAGAATATGGTGATTGAAGCTGTGGTTGGCAATTCTGCCTTCAAAACAAAGCTGAATCATTTAATATCCAAGGTGAGAGCTTAATTTTTTTTATGTATCCTCCCTGCTACAATTTGTGCAAGGGGAGGGGTGGGCTTAATGCTGTGCCAACAATTTGTTCTGGTAGGTTTCCTTCTCCTGTTCTCTTAAAAACAGTACACTCAGCTGTCCTATCTAAATGCGTTCAGTGTCTTCATCAAATGTTGGTAAAACTTAACTTGATCTATGCAAGGATTCTCTGTCCAGTACTCTAAGCTGGTCGGTAATTTAATGATGTGTGGGATATGTTGTATTTTTATTATCCAGGTTAGAATTCCTGAGCCTCAAGTTAACTGATTATGAATCTTTGTTAATAGAAATAATTTCATCAGTTGAAGTGATTTCAAGCAGCTTAGCTTGTTTGCTGCAATTGGAAATTGAGGAACTTTATTATTTTTCGTTGGCATCTCTAAAGAGAGGAAACATGGTAGCAACTGGTTATGCAATGATGATAATCAAGACCCAGGAACATAGAGCATGCACTGACAAAGAAAACCATTCAAAATGACATGGTCTTTCTTCACTGGTGGCATAATTCACATAGTTGCACAGCATTAGAAAGTTGGATCATCACATTTGGAAAATGCATAACAAACTTTTCAGTTGAAAAAGTTAATCTGCCGCCTTATCTGCCTACTAAGGAGAATGCTTTGCTTCTCTATTTGCCCTACATTTGGAATGGAGTAAAATTGGTAGAGGGCTTGCAGAAACGTTTTTTTAATAACTTCTCATTTACTGTCTTCTGACTTCCCATTTTTTGTGTTTGTATCTCCTGCCTTAGGTCTCCAAAGATAGTTCTAAGCAAACAAGAGTCGAACGGCTTAATTCTTCAGTTCATGTTGTAATGGATTTAGAGAAAAATGTCTCCTCACCAGAAAAGTGCCCGAGTGAAACCAGTTGCACCACCAACCCATCCAACAGACCTACTGGTGAGTAAATGCACTTTTTGATTTTGGTATTTGGAATAACAGTGTCATACAGCATGAAAAGCAGACCCTTTGGTGCAACTCGTTGATGCCAACCAACTTTCTCAAACTAAACTAGTCTCACTTGCCTGCGTTTGGCCCATATCCCTCTAAACCTTTCCTAATCGCGTAATCTGTCCAAATGTCTTTTAAATGGTGAAACTGTACCTGCATCTTTCACTTCCTCTGACAATTCATTCCACATGTAGACCACCCTCTCTGTGAAAAGGTTGCCCCTCAAGTCCCTTTAAAATTTCTTCCCCCTCACCTTAAAATATGCCCTCTAATTTTGAAATCCTCTACCCTAAGGAAAAGACCTTTGCTGTTCACCTTATCTATGCCCCTCTTGATTTAATGAACCTCTATAAGGTCACCTGCCAACCTCCTATGTTCCAGTCAAAAAGGTCCCAACCTCTCTTCATAACTCCAACCCTCCAGTCCTGGCAACATCCTTCTAAATCTTTTATGCACCCTTTCCAATTTAATAATATCCTTGCTATAGTAGGACGACCACAACTGTACAAAGTACTGCAAAAGTGGCCTCACCATCGTCCTGTACAACCTCAACTCCAATACTCAATGGTCTGAGCAACGAAGGCAAGCTTCTAAACAGCTTAACTAACCTGGCTACCTGTGATGCAACTTTCAAAGAATTGTGTTCCCGAGCCCCTATGTCTCTGTTCTACAACACTACTCGGGGCCCTTCCGTTAACTGTATAAGCTTTATCCTTGCTCTTTTTACGAAAATGCAACACCCACATTTATCCAAATTCAAACTCCATCTTTTCACTCCTCAGTCCGTTGGCCCACTTGATCAAGATCCTTTCATACTCTTAGATAACCTCCTTCACTGTTCACTACGCCCCTAATTTTGGTGTTGTCCACAAACTTACTAACCATTCCTCCCAAATTCTCATCCAAATCGTTTATATAAATGACAAATAGTGAACCCAACACCGCTGGTCACAGGCCTCCAGGTCTGAAAAACAACCCTCCATCACCACCCTCTGTCTTCTACTGTCAAGCCAATTTTATATCCAATTGGCAAGCTCTCCCTGGATCCCATGTGATCTAACTTTGCTAACCAGTCTACCACGCGGCACTTTGTCTACATGGACTTTGGTAAAGCCTTTGACAATGTCTACCACTGTGTGCTCTTCTATCTTGGGGCGTCACGGTGGCTCAGTGGTTAGTGCTGCTGCCTCAGTGCCAGGGACCCGGGTTCAATTCCAGCCTCAGGCAACTGTCTGCATGGAGTTTACATGGGGAGAATGTGCCTGCGCAGGTTTCCTCCGGGTGCCCCAGTTTCCTCCCACAGTCCAAAGATGTGCAGGTTAGGTGGATTGGCTATGCTAAATTGCCCATAGCACCTGGGGATGTTTAGGTTGGGTGGGTTAGACATGGGAAATGCAGGGATAGGGGAATGGGTCTGGGTGGGATACTCTTGGGGAGTGCGGTGTGGACTTGTTGGGCCAAATGGCCTGTTTCCACACTGTAGGAATTCTATGATCATTCTATGATCTATTTGGTCACGTCCTCAAAAAAAAAAGCTGATTAAAGTTTGTGAGACATGATTTCCCATGCAGAAAGCCATGCCGACTATCCCTAATCAGGCCTGGCCTCTCCAAATACATGTAAATCTTATCTGTTAGAATCTGCTCCAACAGCTTACTCACTGCTGATGTCAGTCTCGCCTGTCTGTAGTTCCAAGCTTCTCCTTACAGCATTTCTTTAAATAAAGGTGCAACATTAGCCACCCTCCAGTCCTCTGGCACCTAACCCTTGGCTGTAGTTGATAAGAATATCTCTGCTTTCTTCCCTAGCTTCCCACAGCATCCTGGAATGCACTTGATCAGGTCCCGGAGATTTAGCCACCTTTATATTTTCTAAGAGCTCCAACACCACCTCTTCTCTAATGTGGACTGTTCTCAAGACATCAGTATTTATTTTCCTGAGTTTCCTAGCCTTTGTCTTTCGCCACAGTAAATACTGATGCAAAATATTCATTTAGTATCTCCCATTTTCCTGTGGTTTCACACAGGATGTTGATCATTAAGGGGCCCTATTCTCCGCCTTAAATCTTTGATCTTAAATTTGAATACACGTAACTGAGCTTTCTGATTTACTTGTGACATTAACAGCATATCACGCATGTTAATGTTCAAGTAGGAATACATCCCAGGTGGTTTCAGGAGTTTGTATAAGAGTAAGTTTGGTTTAAGACTCTACATATTTCAAACGTTGCTCTGAATTGAGCTGAATTTTAATGCAAAACTAAAGATTTTACTAGTGCCGTTGTCAGGATGAAATTTTAACTTGAGCAGACGGACTTATAGTTCACTGTAACTGACCCTATGGTACTGTTAGAAGATCTGGTGGAAGTTCTGCTCAGTCGATGTTCCCTCAACAAAACACAACAGAATTTTTTTCTTTGATTTGTCATTACATTTACTATAATATTGAACTTGGCGAGCCAACTGGAAATATTTGCCCAAAAGACAACAGTAGACAATTGAGAGGAAAGCCATTGGTTGTGAAGTACTTTGAAATGCCTTGAGCCTGATAGATTGACTTTACTTTTTAAAATGCCGATATTTACTGCCCACTCCTAATTCATATCAATAGAGTTGTTAGTTTGTCCATTGTATTTACCAAACTAACAAGTTTGAATAACTATGCTGCATTGGCAATAAATCTTTCTTAAAAACTGAGGAGTTTGTAAAGTGAGCCTTTTAGTAAAAATGAAAGGCAGTCATATTTTAGAATCAAAATAAATAGTGCAGGTGGGAGCAGAAGAATGAGAGAGGACAACTCTGGAATAAGTCAGTGAGCAAATGAAGTTCAATGTGAGAAATTGAGGTCATCCATTTTGGGCCGAAGAATAACGGTTGGAATATTTTCTAAATAGTGACCTGCTAGGAATCATGGATGGGAAAAACAACTTGAAGGACCAAAGTACAGAAATAATTAATTGGATAAGTACAGAAAAAATTAACAAGGTTGATGAAACAGTGGCCTTTTTCCCAAGGATGTTGGAATGTCAAGAAGTGGAATTTATAGTGTAGTTGTACAGAACTTTGATCAGACGCCACCTGGTATAATGACATTCAGTTCTGGCACGGCACCTCAGGAAGGTTAGAGATAACAAGGTGTACAGCTGAATGAACACAGCAGGCCAAGCAGTATCAGAGGAGCAGGAAAGCTGACGTTTCGGGTCTAGACCCTTCTTCAGAAATGGGGGAGGGGATTCTGAAATAAATAGGGAGAAAAGGGGAGGTGTTTAGAAGATAGATAAAGGAGAAGATAGGTGGAGAGGAGATAGACAGGTCAAGGAGGCGGGGTTGGAGCCAGTAAAGGTGAGTGTAGGTGGGGAGTTAAGGAGGGGAGGTCGGTCCAGGGAGGACGGACAGGTCAAAGAGGCGGGATGAGGCTAGTAGGTAGGAGATGGGGGTGGGCTTGAGGTGAGAGGAGTGGACAGGTTAGGGAGGCGGGTACGAGCTGGGCTGGTTTTGGGATGTGGTCAGGGGAGGGGAGATTTTGAAGCTTGTGAAGTCCACATTGATATCATTGGGCTGCAGGGTTCCCAAGCGAAATAGGAGGTGCTGTTCCTGCAACCTTCGGGTGGCACCGTTGTGGCAATGCAGGAGGCCCAGGATGAACATGTCGTCCAAGGAGTGGGAGGGGGGAGTTGAAATGGTTCGCGACTGGGACGTGCTGTTTTTCAGTGCGAACTGAGCATAGGTGTTTCACAAAGCGGTCACCAAGCCTCCGCTTGGTTTCCCCGATATAGAGGAGGCCACAACAGGAACAGCTGGTACAGTATACCACATTAGCAGATGTGCAGGTGAACATCTGTTTGATGTGGAAGGTATTCTTAGGGCCTGGGATAGGGGTGAGGGGGGAGGTGTAGGGGCAGGTGTAGCACTTCCTGCGGTTGCAGGGGAAAGTGCCGGGGGTGGTGGAGCTGGTGGGGAGTGTGGAGCGGACAAGGGAGTCATGGAGAGAGTGGTCCCTCCAGAAAGCAGATAAGGGTGGGGAGGGAAACATGTCTTTGGTAGTGGGGTCGGATTGCAGATGGCGGAAGTGTCGGAGGATGATTCGTTGGATCCGGAGGTTGGTGGGATGGTACGTGAGGACGAGGGGGATTCTGTTTTGGTGGTTGTTGCGTGGAGTGGGTGTGAGGGATGAGTTGCGGGAAATGCGAGACACACGGTCAAGGGCATTTTCGACCACTGTGGAGGGGAAGTTGCGGTCCTTGAAAAACGAGGCCATTTGGGATGTCCGGGAGTGGAATGCCTCATCTCGGGAGCAGATGCAGCGGAGGCGAAGGAATTGGGAATAGGGGATGGCCTTTTTGCAGGAAGGTGGGTGAGAGGAGGTGTACTGTAGGTAGCTGTTGGGAGTTGGTAGGCTTGAAATGGATATCGGTTTCCAGGTGGTTGCCAGAGATGGAAATAAAGTCCAGGAAGGGGAGAGAGGTATCGGAGATGGTCCAGGTGAACTTAAGGTTGGGGTGGAAGTTGTTAGTGAAGTGGATGAACTGTTCGAGCTCCTCGTGGGAGCATGAGGTGGCGTCAATACAGTCATCGATGTAATGGAGGAAGAGGTGGGGGATAGGGCCAGTGTAGCTTTGGAAGAGGGATTGTTCTATGTATCCTACAAAGAGGCAGGCATAGCTTGGGCCCATGCAGGTACCCATGGCCAGGAGAAGTTGTTAAGGGTGAGGACGAGTTCAGCTAAGCGAATAAGGGTGTCAATGGAAGGGGACTGGTCGGGCCTGCGGGACAGGAAGAAGCGGAGGGCCTTTAGGCCATCTGCATGGGGAATGCAAGTATACAGGGACTGGACGTCCGTGGTAAAGATGAGGTGTTGGGGTCAAAGGAATCGGAAGTTTTGGAGGAGGTGGAGCGCGTGGGTGGTGTCACGGACATAGGTGGGGAGTCCCTGGACTGAGGGGGAGAAAATGGAGTCGAGATAAGTGGAGATGAGTTCGGTGGGGCAGGAGTAGGCGGAGACAATGGGTCGACAGAGCAGTCAGGTTTGTGGATTTTGGGAAGGAGATAGAAACGGGCGGTGCGGGGTTGGGGAACGATGAGGTTGCAGGCTGTGGGTGTGAGGTCACCTGAAGTTGTGGATAGTTTGGGAGATGATGATGTTTTGGTGGATGGAGTCATGATCAAGGAGGCGGTAGGTGGAGGCGTCGGAGAGTTGGTGCCTGGCCCCGGCAATGTAGAGGTCAGTGCGCCATACTACAACTGCGCCTCCCTTGTCCGCGGGTTTTATGGTGAGGTTGGGGTTGGAGCGGAGGGCTGCACGTTCTGTGGGGCAGAGGTTGGAGTGAGTGAGAGGGAAGGAGAGGTTGGGGCGATGTCACGATGGCAGTTGGAGGTGAAGAGGTTGAGGGAGGGTCGGAGGCCTTGGGGTGGTGTCCAGGAGGAGGGGGTATGTTGGAGGCAGGAGAAGGGATCAGTAGCGGGAGGGTTAGGCTCATGATTAAAGAAGTAAGCGCGGTGGTGGAGGCGGCAGAAAAACTGTTCTACATCCAAGAGTGAGTTGTATTCGTTGATGTGTGGGTGGAGGGGGCCAATGGTGAATCCATTACTGAGGACTGACCGTTCGCCCTCAGTGAGGGGGAGGTCTGGGGCGATGGTGAAGACTCGGCAGGGCTGGGTGCTATTGTCTCCTCTGGAACTGCTTGATGTGGAGGCGGTGGGAGGAGTGACGTCGGCGGTGGGCAGAACGACGTTGCCGCAATTTCCTGGTACCCAACACCTCATCTTTACCATGGATGTCCAGTATACACCTGCATTCCCCATGCAGATGGCCTAAAGGCCCTCTGCATCTTCCTGTCCCGCAGGCCCGACCAGTCCCCCTCCACAAACGCCCTTATCTGCTTAGCTGAACTCGTCCTCGCCCTTAACAACAACTCCTTCCATTCCTCCCACTTCCTACAGAAGTGGCCATGGGTACCCGCATGGGCCCAAGCTATGCTTGCCTCTTTGTAGGATACGTGGGACAATCCCTCTTCCAAAACTACACTGGCCGTATCCCCCACCTCTTCCTCCGTTACATCGATGACTATCGACGCCGCCTCGTGCTCCCACAAGGAGCTTGAACAGTTCATCCACTTCACCAACACTTTCCACCCCAACCTTAAGTTCACCTGGACTGTCCCTGATACCTCTCTCCCTTTCCTGGACCCTTCTATTTCTATCTCTGGCAACCACCTGGAAACCGATATCCATTTCAACCCTACCAACTCCCACAGCTACCTAGAAAACACCTCCTGTCACCCACCTTCCTGCAAAAAGGCCATCCCTTATTCCCAATTCCTTCGCCTCCGCCGCATCTGCTCCCGAGATGAGGCATTCCACTCCCAGACATCCCAGATGTCCTCGTTTTTCAAGGACCGCAACTTCCCCTCCACAGTGGTCGAAAATGCCCTTGACTGTGTCTCTCGCATTTCCCGCAACTCATCCCTCACACCCCCTCCCTGCAACAACAACCAAAACAGAATCCCCCTCTTCCTCAGGTACTACCCCACCAACCTCCGGATCCAACGCATCATCCTCCGACACTTCCGCCATCTGCAATCCGACCCCACTTCCAAAGACATTTTTCCTTCCCCACCGTTACCTCCTTTCCGGAGGGACCACTCTCTCCGTGACTCCCTTGTCCGCTCCACACTCCCCTCCAGCCCCACCACCCCTGCAACCGCAGGATGTGCTACACTTGCCCCTTCACCTCACCCCCATCCCAGGCCCTAAGAAGACCTTCCACATCAAACAGATGTTCACCTGCACATCTGCTAATATGGTATACTGTATCCGCTGTTCCCGTTGTGGCCTTCTCTACGTCGGGGAAACCAAGCGGAGGCTTGGTGACCGCTTTGTGGAACACCTACGCTCAGTTCGCAGCAAACAACTACACCTCCCGGTTGCAAACCATTTCAACTCCCCCTCCCACTCTTTGGACGACATGTCCACACTGGGCCTCCTGCAGTGCCACAACGATGCCACCCGAAGGTTGCAGGAACAGCATCTCATTTCGCTTGGGAACCCTGCAGCCCAATGATATCAATGTGGACTTCACAAGCTTCAAAATCTCCCCTCCCCCGACTGCATCCCAAAACCAGCCCAGCTTGTACCCGCCTCCCTAACCTGTCCTCCCACCTCAAGCCCCACCCCCATCTCCTACTTACTAGCCTCATCCCGCCCCCTTGACCTGTCTGTTCTCCCTGGACTGATCTATCCCCTCCCTAATTCCCCACCTACACTCACCTTTACTGGCTCCATCCCTGCCTCTTTGACCTGTCTGTCTCCTCTCCACCTATCTTCTCCATTATCCATCTTCTATCCGCCTCCCCCTTTCTCCCTATTTATTTCAGAATCCCCTTCCCCTCCCCCATTTCTGAAGAAGGGTCTAGACCCAAAACGTCAGCTTTCCTGCTCCTCTGATGCTGCTTGGCCTGCTGTGTTCATCCAGCTCTACACCTTGTTGTCTCAGGAAGGTTATATTTGTCGTAGAGTTGATGCAGTGTACGTTTGCCAAAATAGTGCTGGGTTGGGGGGCAAAAGGCGAAGCTGTTGAGGTTGGATTTTGATTCAACATTTCAGCCATGATCTAATTCATTGGTGGAGCAGGCTCTTGGGACTAAACATACTGATGGTTATGAACTGAAAATCTGAGACTCAGAATTACTGCATATATTTAATCTTTTAAACTACTACTGTACCCATTTATTCTTAGCTGATGTATAGAATCTGATGACTAAGCTCTCCTTAAGTGGTCTGTCTCTTTATATTGGAAATGCTTTTCGTTTTATCTGTCTGCCTCTGTCGTTCCATGGAGGACTGGTTCATAAAAGCAAACTATATTAACAAATTCAAGGGGGAGCTTGTGGTTGAGAGAGATGGCAAGATGTTGCACAATGTTTTCTGAGCTTGGGATTAGTATGTTTTTGTGGTTAGCGATGGTTGTTTCTTGTCCTGTGTAAATCCATGTTTCTGGTTTTCTATCTGAATACTTTCAATCCTGTAGTTATTTAGAGGACTAGAATATCAAGGAGTGGAAATCATGCTTCAGCTATAAGAAGCCCTAGTTAGACCAGGCCTTCAGTTTGAAATAGTATACCTGAGGAGGGATATTGTTTACCTTGGTGGGAGGGCAGCGTGGATTTACCAGAATAGTTTTAACTGGATTCCAATGGTTAAGTATGAACAAGACTCCACAGACAAGGATTGTATTGCCTGGAATTTACAAAATTAAACAAATATTTGGTGTTTTCAAAATAAGTCAGTGGAGCAAAACTGTTTCCATCAGTTGGGGCACTCTAGCAATAACAGGCACAGCCTGAAAGAAAGAAAGAGACTCTGGTGGTGAAGTTAGGAAATATTTATACACGCATAGGTTGGCAGAAATTTTGAACACTCGTAAATGGCTCTTGGCGCTCAATCAATTATTTGTTAATCATGATGTGGGATAAAGGAAAGTGTATGCGGTTAGGTTGCACATCAGCCGTGACCTCATTGAATAGTCAACAGGCTTCATGGTCTCAATGGCCACTTCTGGCTCCAGTATTGTCGTGGTCTATAAGAGTGTCAAGAAACACATCATCATTATATATGCCTTTGCTGCTAATGTCTATACATCAATTGTGCAACATATATTAGTCAGTAAGTCAGGAGTGTGATTGAATGCTCTCCATTCGTGTAGATGCGTGCAGTCCCAACTACATTTGAAGCTTGACATCATCTGGAAAAGAGCAGTCTGCTCGATGATCACCTCATCTGCCCTTTCCCATTCAGTCCCTCCACCACCGGAGCATTATGATAGCAGTACATACCATCAACAAGACTCCAGCAATAAGTTACCAAGTTCCTTCAACAGCACTTTCCACACTTGTAACTTCTCCCACTCAGAAAAAGAGGGACAGTGTAGTTAGGGAGTCCCATTACCTGCATTTCGTGTTCCATCTTGACTTGCAAATGTATTGCTGTTCCTTTACTGTTGCAGGGTCGAAATTCTGGTGCTTTCATCCTGAACAGCTCTATGTATGACCGAGGGAGCTTTGCCACCAATTACTCGAAGGCAGTTAAGGATGAACAACAAATAACATCCTCCTCGGCAATGCAGACATTCTGCGAATTAATTTTTTTAAAAAAATTGCAAATGTGTAATTAATTAAGTTAATTACAGCAAGAGATTACCATGTCAATAATGCAGTATTTTATCTTTACCTCCAAATTGCAATTTTTTTTCTGCAGCAGAAGGTAAAGCTCAGTCATTTCCAGTGATTACAACACAGAAAAGGGAACAAGGAGTTTCCATTGCAGCTACTGACACAACTGTGAAAAATGTGTCCAAAGCCCCCCCTCCTATTAGATCTGCAGTCACAACATTCCAGAGAATTGGGGCTTTGAGTACAGTCCTGACCAATACAACTGCGACACCAACTCCAAACTGCTTCATGAATTCTGTTGCATCTGGAAACAAACCTGAGACATCAGCAGCTATTCCCACCCGTTATCTATTGTGTAAAACTAATTCATCTGGATTGTCTTCAGGTAGGTTTGAGACTTGGAGCTTCTGGTCGAAGCCATCTGGTGTACGTGTGCACACGTATCAATGTGAGCGTGTGTACGTGTGTCTACATACATTTCACTTTGCCACACCATTTACAGCGTGCTATTTATTCTGCAACATTAATCCTCTTGAATAACCGAAATGTCAACAAATATGTCGACAACTCTGCTATGGCATGCACGTGCCTTCCAGAACAAGTCTGTCTCTGTCGCTCTGTCTCTGTG